AAACATGTCCGCCATCGCAAAATTCATTAGGCTTAGCTGAACTTTTAAATTGTTGATAACTCCACAAATATTGCATGCAGATTTACTAAAGGCATAAAAACCTTAGCCGGAAGATAAGAACAACATAATTCAATCATTTTTAAAGCAAAAAATGCACAACTTACAAACATGTAAGAGTAAAGAAACTGAGATCACTGAGCCCGTTAACAGAGTGGATATATATGTATACATATATACATATATTTATATAGGTTTGGTGCGGCCGATTGCAACCAAAATACGAGGTGCACAACTACATGTTATAGCAGTCGTACATACAAAATGTCAACGTTCTGAGGCTACTCGTGTTTGAGTCATATCTGTTGCATCGCAAGTTTAGCCTCAATTCTCTTTGATATTGGCATAATTTTCCAACTAACTATGTGTAATGTCTCATACTTGTAAATAACTACATATATTAAAAGCAACCTTTATTACGTATAGAAAAGGTAACAGAATTATAAAATTAAATAGATTTAATACGAGTATAAATCGGCAAGATAAAATACAGTTATGTAAAGAAAAATAGTATATCTTCACAGCGAGACGTCCCGACGGCAAAACATCCCGACGCCGAAACGTGTACGGTGTAAGGGCGACAGCGAGAAGTGACACTACCCATCAGTTATTTAGCCATTTAATTATACAGTTTATAAAATTGACTTGAAGCACCTATTTTCACCCATGTGACAAACACCTTGTTGAATTGAGAAATCTATGAAACTTATGGCCAACTAATGTTGATACGCTTTATTTTAAAAGCCTTCCTCTTACCTTGGCTAGAAAAATTAAAATTACACTTAAACTAACTACGCAATCTTTAATTTAATAGAACTTCGCGCACAGAGGAAAGAATAGCCGCAATTGTCAACTTGGGGAAGCTCAAAGTTGCAGTGGCATAAAACTTATTAAATAAAGTAAAAGGAATTATATACAGGCAACTACATGAATTCACAATTATTTAAGTAACTTAGTAAGCTTGCGCTTTTAACATATCAAAATAATTTTATTTGCTGTCTATTAGAGAAAGGCTTAACAATTTTGTGGTCTCCACTCGAAAGTTTCATAAATTCTTTTCCTTAAATAATTAAATACCACAGCTATCCTAACAGTAATTACCTTTTTCCACCTGGAATTGTTCACAAAGAAGACACTTCGCTCTGTTGCCGAGTATAAATGGAAGATAGTCCTCCTCCACAGACAAAGTTTATATTTATTTCTTTCACAGTCTTAAAGATAATTCAGCTTGAAAATCCTATTCGGAACTCTTTTAATCTGAGTTTATCCTCACTTAAAACTATGTGTTGCCTCGGTTTGAGGAAGTAAATATTTAATTTATTATCTTTTTGATATTTTGCTTCAGCTGAGACACAGTTAATTCTGAGCAAGCCATCCCAGTGAACTTTTAATCAAGCACGAGATGCTTGATGTGTTTTAATCTCATCGTGAGATCTGATGTTTAGGAAACCGTTAAAGGATTAAGCATTTAATTATTTAATTTACTTTGTATGCATTTTTTTAAAAAAGGTTAACGGAATATTAGACTTGTCTTTATAGGTGAAACAATTCTCCATTAATACATTTTTTCATTTACGAATTTTCACATAAAACTACGTGTTTTTTAAGCGCGTCTCCTAAGAACTTTTTAATTTCTTTTGAAACATGTCCCATTATATAGCAAAGTATAAAAAATAAGTGAGAACTGATGGAAAAACTATTAAATTTCAGCGAGCGAAACAATTAAGAATTTCTATTTTGAAGCATGAAGACATACATGATATTTAATGTTTCTTCATAATGAAATTAAAAGATATCATAGGGAGATATATATGCTTATTTCTTATTGTTACTTTTAAAGAGAAGAAATGGTAGAAAAAGTAATTAAGGTGGAAAGATATTACCATTTATAATTGCGAAGCGAGAGACTCAAGTAGATATTAATTACAGTGAGAGATGAATGTAATTGAATTTAACCCAAAATATAATAACTTTATAATATTAAAAATGATTTTTATTTCTTAAGCATATGAAACTGTTTATTCGGAATTAAATGTAAATGGGCTGGGAAAGAAAGACGTTATTTTCAAATGTAATTTTAAATGTCAGAAGAATGAACTCTGAGAATTTCTTACTTATAATGTAGATAAAGTAGACTTAAACACGTCATTTTTAATCATGTATAAAAAAGATAAGGAGTAGTTTTATTAAGAAAATAATCTGTAATAATTAAAGAAAGGCTACAATAATCCAATAATGAAATCATTACTCTTTAAAAGCAAAATAAGATAAATGATGCTTTAATTGGCCAAGAGTTAAATACGAAGAATGCACGAAAATTAGTCCAACAGTAAATTTTAATATATAAGCATACAAAGGTTCTAATACCTGAATGATTCATATGCGTTTCATAAAAATACGCAAACATAGCCTCCTGAAATATGCAAACAATATTCTACCATACATACGGCATCAGGATATTAATTTAGGATATTAATATAATCAGGTTAATATTTTCTCAATAAAATCACACTCAATTTAACTGCTGTCTGTTTCTTCGCATTTCGTAGATATTCCATTTTTATTACAAATCGAAAGTTAGAGGATTTCCTGACTGGAACCTGTCTCTCAGCAAGAAGGCAGAAACGGCTTTCACCTGAGAATATTACAGATCTCTACTCCGCCATCCAGTGAGCTCAAGTTCGATACTATTGATATCACAGGAGGCGTTCATTAGAAGCTAGTGGTATGGGCTTTGCAGAGCGTCTATTTCGGAGCTGTGTCTCAAATAATTGAAGTTTTACAGTTCGCTATGTCACTCTGGTTCCAACAAAACCTCAGATGTCTGCTGCAGATGCAACGTGTTGTGCCGCAGATAGGAAAAAACGGGGATCTTCTCTTTAAGTAGAGGCACGTGTGCAGCTGGACCCCGGCCTTCTTGAGGCAATACAATCCAGTGACTATTGTTGCTATTACGCAGTGGTAGCTCCCCTTAGCCCTACTGTACGGCCTCATTCAAGCTCAGTAAACTGTCGATATTGCCTTCTTTGTCTTCTTAAAGGCACTCAAATCTCACTCACAACATCTAATCCGGAAGATAAATAAGGCATATAAAGTTTGCATTATATATTTAAAGAAAACGGGATTTGCATATTCGTAGCAGCGCTACTAGGGTCAAACGTATCCGTGTACACGTATTCGTCACGAAATTTGAATAGACGTCATCTTTCAGATGTGGAAACCGGCCTCCCAAATTTCGCTTATCTAGCATATCTCCCGCTTAGCGCTGAGATTTTGTTTTCCATCAGTGTGAATTTACCTTTCTAAAAAATAATAAGGCTTTTAGCTTATGTATCTACAATAGCTCCTCCAAATATTCGAGGAAAGAAGGAACTATTTAAGTCGTTTTGAGATTTGGTTTGAGGTTTTTCGTATGAAACAGCAGCTTTTATTCACCATTCATCGTTTTCAAAGATATTATATTTTCTCGAAAGTTAAGTTGCATTATCTGAGAAGCGTATGTAACACCTTTCACTTACTAGTCATATTCAGTTACCATCTTCTTTATCTTTGAGAGATCTGAACTGTGTGGAGGGTGGTATAGATATTAATTCCATTAATTTCATGTAAAGCTTTCGTTACTTATTCTTGTGCCATATGAGGAAGACCCCTTCTTCCTGAAGCAGTTCATGACTTCCTTCCTTTTCCAGTTATTTCCTTTAAATGAACTTGCGAATAACTAGCATAATAATCACCACTTAAAATTTGTTTCGCAAGAAATTAGTGTTGCTGTATTATTTCACAGATAAAAAGAGTGGTATTCACAGATAAAAAGAGCGGAGCCTTTACAAATTAGAAAAGCGAAATTTAAAGAAAAGCAGATATTCACTGTATTTTCCATACGCTGAAGTTTCTTTGGTTTAGAATCATGTTCTAGCCAAGGACTTCTCAGTAATAATTTTAATGTTCAAGTAAGCAAGATGCTCTTTCACTTGCTGCAGCAATGGAGTTTATGCTCTCTGTGCCCGCTGGCACCCATTTTGCCCACGAGACATTTTCAGATGCTTCTTTAAAATATCGACGCGTTTTCCTCCACCAGCATTAAAGTTAGGTGACAATTCGCAAAAAGATAACTATAATTTCGTCTTAGCTGTGACTGTTTTCAAACTATTCTCATCGTTTATACATGTTAATGGGCGTCCACATTTCGGCCTCAACTTGTAAACTGCGTTTGCTTTCTTTTATGCTTCCAACATAAGAATACGTCTAGTCTCTTCGTTCCTACTTCCGAGTGTGTTTGTTGGATGAACTCTAAAGTTTCCTGGCCACGTTTGGGTAACTTGACCCATAATTCATTTGAGAACCTTTGTCAGACTATTAATGGCATCCATGGTAACTCATACTGAAGTTCAAACTTAATAGCGTGCAAGTAAACGTCAAACAGCTCCTTGGAATTTGTTCACATTAACAAAGTTCAACATAGGCTATCTTCTAGAACGATAACCAAAGAATAACTTCGAAAGAAATGGTGCAGTATTGCTAATCGTCCAAACTTCGGAAAAGCCCTTAAGTTCTGCTTTCGTTTGTTTAGGTTTTACAAACAATTTTCATTCCGAAAGTATTCAAAATATATTAGAATTTAAGAGGACAATTCGAGTCTCAAAATCTAGCATTTAGAAGTCGGAATTGTCAAACTTTGTGCTAGATTCTTGCGACCTTACATCGCCTACTTTTGCTATTTATTTGATACTGCATGCAGACTGATGCTGATTGCATGTAGCGTAGCAAGTTAACTAATTAACATTTAATTATTTCTCATTTAAAGGCTGGATTTAATTTAGAATTAAGTTTACCAGATTACCAAATTTAGTTTAGAATTTCTACGTCCTGTGTAATTATATATATATAATTAAATAGTTATGCATATCTTTACTCATCAATCACATTAAATGAGAAATACTTACACAAAACTCTGAGGACAAAGATCTCATGGACAGTTCTCCTTAATAGATGATTGGTTGCTTGACAAGTGTAGGAACTCATATCATCAGAAGATGTTACATTAAAACGGACGCGGTTACGTGTGGATTTTCCACCATAGGTAGAATCCACAACTCCTTCATGGTGACCGGAAATAGACTCGCCATCTTTCCACCACAAAATGGTAGCTTCTGGGTTACTGCTGGCAGTATCACAAGTTAAGGTAACCTGCATGCACAATAAAAGCATTCAGCTACAAACCAGTATTTTATTAGAAAATATGTATATAAATGAATTTAATCTTTGTGAAACAAAAATTAATACGATAAATATCGCTAAAAAGCATATCAGCAAAGTCTTAAATAGTAGTGATTTCAGTTCTAAGTGTCTCGAATTGCCTGAATGAACAATAATTTCCGGAATGACTCTAATTTGACACTTTTTTCCTGAATCATTTCAATTTTAAGCGAAGATTTACATTTAAGAAATGCAAGAGTTATATAAAATGATTCCGAAATAGAAAAATTTATGTTGATTTCTTATCTAGCAGTCCTTGGAGTATAATCTAAGCAAGAACATGTTTTAGAGGGAAACTTGATAATTTTCAGACGGCAGTACTTCAGGAACTTCGGGTAGGTAAGATCTGATTTAATTTTTAGCGTTATGTTTAGGGTCTAGTAAATTACCTTTTGAAGTTATCTTGTTGCCAAGTAACGCATCCTCAGAAAAGTTTCATTTTATCGTTTTATATTGAGTATAAATTTAATTTGAGAATACTGGAGAAACTGGAATAAAGCATTTGTTTCTGTTTCCAATGTATTTCTTCACGTTGAACAGTAATTTAAAAACCTAGTGTAGCTGACTTGAATGCCGATTGCAGTTTAGTTAATACCAGGGCAAGAAATCCGTCGAACATAGACCGACATTTTTAAAAATTAATTTTATTTATTAAATATACGAATATGATTCTGTCTCTTTTTTGTCGGGATGTATATTATTTTGTATGTTTTAAACAGAATTTAAAACAATAAATTTCGATGAGCTGCATAGAAGGTTTTCGGGTATTAGGTATGGTTTCGGTGTATTAGGTATGGACGTATGGACGCCCAAACGTATGGAATGCACATATTTCAATTCGTAGATATGAACACTTTGCTTTGCGGAAGTCTAAAAAATTAATACGAACAGACAGATTAATGACTTTACAGTTGGAGGATTTAACACTTTGCTTTCCTGTAGTCTAAAATTTAACACAAACACACAAATGAATATTACCAGCGGAGCTTATCAGAAAGCAATTCAAAGATCAGAATGCAAATTCGTACTGAAGCATAAAAATACAGAATTTCTGTAAGGTTACTAAAATGAAATCAGCCAACTGAAAGTATTACTTCTTTGATTCAGATATCAAAATGCCAGTTCACAAAGAAACGGTATAAAAGTGCTAAACAGTTATTAATTTTAATATTAGGTGTTACTATCATCTATTAACAGCTCTTTAAATGACTTCTAATAAATGAAGCATTTCTAAGTCTCAAATTGGTTGCTGGTGGGTCGCTTGCGATCTTCGGAGCGATTTTACACGATCTGCAAATGCGTTTCAATTATAGATTTGTGGCATATAGGTGCCTATAGTTTTAGAGACATAGAGATATGGACTGAGCTTATGTGCGCGACGGCTATTGAAGGAAATAGAAATGGAAAGAATAGATTGACGTTTTGACACTTTATGCGTATATGCCAGCCCACGTGATTGTGGGCCATTTAAATGTTTCAATAAAGAGTTCCGAAGAACGAATAAACTTGAATAACTGAAGTTCTTAAAGTTAAATTGCGGTTACGGAAAACACAGCTAGAATTTAATAAATTTCTTACATTTCCTACTAATTACATTCCTACACTCCTAAATGTATTATTCTATTATCACTTATCTATTATCAGTTAAACCTATTATTTCAAACAAAAAAATCTCGAAAGTAAAGTGCCCAGGTAAGAAATTTTATATTAAAAAAAAGCGTTTTATTAGATCGCTTGCTTTCTTGTTGTTGAAAAAGTGTTATGTTGTTTGCATGTATATGCGAGCATGCTTTTCGTAGCTGAAAATTAATAAGAAAAGAACTGATCAATGAGTATCTAAGATCCATGACGAAGATAGTTTCTAGTCATTTTTATACAAGGCTAAAAAGTATCATAAGGGAAACATCATCGAGGGGCATTTTGTAGCAGAAAGTAAAGTTTTTAATTATTTATTTATACACAAACATGGTATTTTTCGTCTATTATTGAAGAAAAATGTATCAAATAAAAGACAGAAATTAGGCTATCATTACTTAATCTCACGTTTTATCTGAAAATTTGAAACATTTTCATAGTTTACTAATTTCCAATTTAAGGTAAAAGAATTTAGTGATTAGTTCAGTATATTGCAGTTATTTGAAATAAATATCAATCTGAAAATTTAATATTTAGTTAGGAATAAGTTTGAATTATAAAGAGTAACCAACATAAATGTCTTCGAGGACTAGCCTTTAGAATTTCGATAGAAAATAAAAATAAATTAAAATTTGTTGCTTTCTTATAATTACTTTTTATGTAAGTTCTGATAAATGTTTAGTAAGTGAAGCTAAAACTTTAATAGCCTTTTTTTTTCTCTTTAAAAATATTTTTATTTTGTTAAAAAGGGATTATGGCTCGTCAGCTGTTTTCATTTAGGGCACTCGGAAAGCGTGCAATTTGAATTTGAGACCATTGACTTAAAGAACATGTGTAGCGGATCTGTAACTCTCATACTTTTCTCTGTGATTTCAGATCAGTTCTGTTCCTAGTATAAGCACTACTTATTAGTAAGGTTATACTTTTTTCTAAAACTAGCAGAAATTTTAGATTAGATTTGTTTGTAAATACCTGCCATTGTAAGAAACATTATATCCGTAATTCATTAAATTCCTAAAACATATCCATTTGAGTTTTATATTTTGATCCAGAAGATAACATGCATTCTCGATGGGATTAATACCCGAGGATTTAGATTGTCAGGTCACGTTTCTGAAACTTCTAACATACTGGTGATATAAGTACGCAGTGGATTTGGATTTAAACTCTTTAAAGCCTAAAACGATTATTAAAATAAACTGGATCGATAGTTTTATAAGAATTCAGCACATATTTTACTAAGGGAAACAAACTCTTTGTAGGATTTCTCTGCATGTATGTTAATTCATCTTTTTTTTTTTTTTTTTTAAACCAATACTTGTTTGCTTGATTTACAACCCTTAAAACACAGTACGGAAATATAACTATTGATTTTTCATAAAAGTTGTTTAGAACATTTTTGATACAAACTATAAGAAAGAAATATTAGTGTTTTTGTAGACCACTGGTTGACGTTTTGTGCCGTGCGATATTGGAGTATAAGTAAAATTTGAATTTATCAGACCCAATCACAGTCTTCCATAATCCATTCTTCGCAAGTTTCTGCCGACGCTAAGCAGACATATTTCGGAAGCATATTAACACTGGTTTCCCTTACGTACTTCTTCTTCAAATATACAGTTAATGACATTTCCTAAGCAATAATAAACGAGTAACTGAACTATGAGTCTTTTATTAATATACTGGAAGAATTATCATCTTGTTTGACAGCTCTAATGGTGAAAGCAAGAAATTCAACAACTTGTTTGAGAAATCAAAAAATTGTCAAAGTAGTTTATAGTAAACAATTTGCCTCTTCCTTTGCAGTCACGTATGACTTAATATATATCTACTATACATATTTTCCTTGTGCCTTTGCTAAAATGCACACTGATCATTTCTTTGGTTCTGTGTCCTTTTGACCAGTCGAAAGATGTGATACCCTTTTACCAGTCAGTTATATTCGGGTTTTCTCTTAATAATGTTTTTTCTTTCTAGCGTTTTAACTTCATATGTTACTAAAGAGAGAAAGAAAAAATGTTTTACTATTGTACAAAGCAGAGGTATTTAAATCAAATTGTAATTACAATCTCAGCTACGTAATATGAAATATGTACATGCAATTCGATATACATATTTTGAGCTTGGAAATACCTGTCGCTCGTAATACCGAAGGCTACGGCGCAGCGCTAAGTAGACAGAATTAAAGGTATTACATATTTTACATGCAAGCTCTGGTAAAATTATGAAGCCCTATCGCCGATTAATATGTAGCATAATTTTATTACGATACTTTAATATTAATTCTGATTTTAGATAATACTGCTTTGTATGGTTTTTGGTAGACTTGCATTTAGTATGGTTTTGGTTTAGACTTGCATTTAGGTAGCATTTATTAATTAAATTTGTCTAATTAGTTATTTTAGTCTCTTCTTTCATAAACTTCCATCAAATTATGCACTAATTAACAAAAACTCTCATGACAGGATAAAGCCGGTCGTGCCGTTCACGGGGTTTTAATTTGTACCAACTTTTGGTAAAGAATCAGAGGACCCGTATACTTACTCAAATGAAAGCACAAGTGAATATTTATGTTCAGAAATTATAAATCTGTCACAGACTTTTATTTACAGTAACTTGATTTTGAAGACGAAATTTTCTAAAACATTTCCGCTTCAGTTAATTACCTCCCGAAATCTCAAAGAGTACTTGAAATCATAGCCCAAAAAATGCTGAAGTTCGTTCAAGTACTTCAGACCGCCTTGAAAAGCACTTGGACGACATAAAATTTAAAAAACAAGCTGAGTGCTAAATCATCTCTTTTTTTCATTTTGCTTTGCCTCAGAGAGTGGAAATGTAGAAAATTCTGTAATTACCATGAGAACTTTCTATTTTAAAGAGTAATTTTGTTTTACAAAGTTAATGAAATTGGTATTGTAAGCCAACCTTCAATACTATAACATTAGGCTAAATCAAACTCAGAACTGGTTTTGATGTTAAAATAAAGATTATGTAAAAATTTCAGAATTAATGTTGACGTAGGTATCACTTTATTGGAAAAAAAATGAAGAATAATGATCAGAAAATATTATTTTGTGAATTCAACAAAAATATTGCTCTTTTCAAAATATTTTTCGAAAATAATACATTTCCATCTTTAAAATAAATTATTATTTGTATTACCAACTGACGCTGAAGAGAGATCTTCATCAGACCTTGAATTATCTTGAATAATTGAGAATATTTTTCTGAGTGTTCTTAAATACTGTAATTCATCATAACCTTAACTCAGCCACGGAAAACTTCGTCACTACTGT